CCTGCTTCCAAACCTGTCTTAAACTGGGAGCTCCATCAACCACTGTCCATCATGGATAACTCATTATGCCATTTGACACCATAATGGCACCAGGTTCAGCATCAAAGCAACTCCAGGTTACCTCAGTACAGCATATTGACAGAAGAGTGCTGTACCACGTAGAATAGTGTTCCTCCAAAATATAACAACTGTCTTTTAAATAAAAAGGCCTTCTCCGAGGTCTTGTTGACTCTATATAACAGGCTTAAATAAAAAAAAAAACCCAACTAATAAATTATATTGTTGTTATGTGCCATTGAGTCTCCTGCGATGTATAGTGACCCTTTGTACAGCAGCTCTGAACACTTCCCTGTCCTGAGCCAGACTCACTAATTCCGACACACCAACTCTCATTGCCCCAGATACTGCATCAATCCATCTCATCCAGGATTTTCCTCTCCTGTGCTGTCCCTCTACTCTTCTGAGCATAAGGTCCTTCTCATAGTAAAGTTATCAGATGCATACCGAGCAACTGAGAAGTCTATGGGCTGGATCAAGTACACTTTTGTCTCCTCTGCTGGCATCCCTGCTGTTTTATACTCTGGAGAGGTTCCTGATAGTAGACTTTGCCAAAGCACCTCACATTTTTATTGCCCAACTCCTGATTGCAAGTGTTGATTGTAGATTCCAGAAAAAGGAAACTATTTTAACAGTTTTATTTTTTCTCCAACCTCAATTTTTTTCTCAATAATGACACTGTTAATTGGTCTGTTCAAGAGGATCTTTGTTTTCTTCTTTTTTCTTTTTTTAAAATAATTTTAATGAATGTTCACAGAGATCTTGGATTTCCATACATTCATTATTGCATTTTTCTCCTAGTCCACCCATACTCCCAGTTCTCTCTTCTCTTTGAAAAGGAAAAGAAAAATTATTTCATTGGTATAGAATCCCCCCTCCCACCCTGAGTTCACTCCACCATGCAACATTCATTCTGGACTCTTGTCATAACCATAATACCCAATCATATATCGCTTTCAAATAGTTCTCTCCTTCATTTGTTTCAATGTAGTATACACAATTTATACAATTTTTCTCAGTCTCACCCCAACCCTAATGTCAGTTCCATTCTATAATAGTGGTATCATGCAGCACCTGTCCTTTTGTGACTGAGATATTTCACTCAGCATAATGTCTTGATGAATGAGACTTTCTAAGAGTCAATTCCCTATGCATGTCTAAAAACTTCTCCAACAGAGTAAAAAGGGAAGCCACTGATTGGGGAAAAATATTTGGTAATGACATGTCAGATAAGGGACTTATATCTATAATTTATAAAATATTCAAGCACCACAACAAGATAAAGGTAAATAACCCAATTGAAAAATGGGCACAGGATATGAACAGACACATCACCAAATAAGACATTCAAATGGCCAGCAAATACATGAAGAAATGTTCAAAATCCCTAGCTCTAAGAGGATGCAAATCAAAACAACTATGAGATATAATCTCAGCCCAGTAAGAACAGCAAAATTTAACAGAGCAGCAAACAACAAATGCTGGCGAGGTTGCGGAGAAACTGGAACTCTTATTCACTGTTGGTGGGAGTGTAAAATGGTGCAACCACTACGGAAGGCTGTACAGCGCTCTCTCAAAAAGTTGCACATAAAAATACCATTTGACTCAGTAGTTCCATTACTGAGAATATACCCTAAAGAAACCATAACTGCCACCCAGGTAGATGTATGCACACCCATGTTTATTGCAGCTTTTGTTCACAATTGCAAAGAATTGGAAACAAACCAAGTGCCCATCAACAAATGAATGGATAGAGAAGCTCTGGTATATTCACACAGTGGAATACTACGCTGCATTGATCTTTGTTTTCTTGATGCTGAGATGTAATTCGTATTGAAAGTAGGAGGTATTGATCTCCTGTAGCAAATGCTTCTAGTCCTCATCAGTTTCAGGAGGCAAGATGGTATCATCTTGCATAACACAGGTTGTTGGTAAGACTTCCTCCAATCCTTATGCCACATTCTTCTTCAAAAATTCCAGCTTTCTGAATGATCTGTTCTGCATATAGATTGAAAAGATATGGAGAAAGGATACATCTCTGATGCACTCCTTTCTTGATTTTGAATCATTTAGTGTTCCTTTGCTCTGTCTGGACAATTGCTTCCTGGTCTAGGAATAGCTTTCATATAAGCACAATCAAGTGTTTTGGTACTCCTATTCTTTTCTATGGTAGCCAAAATTTGTTGTGATAAATACAGTTAAATGCCTTTGCATAGTTTATGATACACAAATAGATATCCTCCTAGTACTAAATGCTTTCATCCAAGATTCATCTGATATTGGTAATAATATCCCTAGTGCCATGACCTCTTATAAACCCTACTTGTATTTTTCTAAGTTCTCTGTCAGTATACTGTTCCAATAACTTTTGGATAATCTTCAGCAAGATTTTGCTTGCATGTGATAGAATTGATACTGTTAGATAATGTCCACACTTGTTGGACCACCTTTCTTTGGAATGGGTATAAATATGGATCTCTTCCAGTCAGTTGGCCTGGTAGCTGCCCTTCAGATTTCTTTACACAACTTGCTGAATACGTTCAGAGCTGCATCTGCTTACTGAAATAAGTAATTTGGAATCTCATAAATTCTGAGGGCCTTATTTTTTGCCAATTCTTTCAGAGTATCTTGAACTTCCTTCTTTATTACCATTGGTTCTTGATCATCTGCTACTTCCTGAAATGGTTCTGATTTAGCCAATTCTCTTTGGTTTGGTAACTATGTGTATTGCTTCCATCTTCTCTCCCCCACCCCTTTAATTTTATTTTGGTTTGCTCTTAAACTGTGTATACCTTGTATCATTTGCATATGCTGAATTTCAAACACTCCTAATTTTACACTGTATTTCAAATGACTACTCATGTACATTGTGCTTTATAACATTAATCATCATTGAACTATGTCTACTATTAATGCTTCCATCTTCTTTGGATGTTTCCTGGATCATTTAATACATTGTTATTGTTATTATATGCTGTCAAGTCACGTGTGACTCATAACAACCCTATGTAAAAGACCTCTGAACCTGGTCCTATCCTGGGCCAACCTTATTGCCTCTGACACACACAACCCCATTACCCCAGTCAATGAGTCAATCCATTACATCAAGGATCTTCCTCTCTTGCACTGTCCCTCTACTCTCCCAAGCATTATGTCCCTCTCCAATGACTGGTCTCTACTTGCAACGTGCCTAAAGTATATCAGACAGAGGTTTAGAATCTTTGTCTCCAAGGTGTAGCCTGGCTTCCATGCTATATTCAACTCTATTCCAGCCCCACAACTCAAAGGAATCAATTCTTCTTATATTATCCCTAATCATTATCCAGCTTTCTGATGCATAGCAAGTAACTGCAAAGACCATGGCCTGCCTCAGGGACACCTTAGTCTCCAGACTGACATCACTGCTCTTCATTACCTTGGAGAGGTCCCTGACAGCGGCCTTTCCCAATGCAATTTGTCTTTTGATTTCCTGGCTTCTGGCACCAAGAGTGTTGAGTGTGGAGCCATACAAACTGAAGCTGTTAACAATCTTAATCTCTTCACCATCTATCATGATGCTGCCAATTGGCCCAGTGGGGAGAATCTTTGTCTTCTTGATGTTGAGCTTCAATCCATATTGAAGGCCACAGTCCTTGACCTTCTGTAGCAAGTGCTTGAGCTCCTCCTCGGTTTCAGCAAGCTAGGTTATGTCATCTGTATGAAGTTGTTGATGAGTTGTCTGCAAATCCCCATGCCACATTCCTCATAGAGTCCAGCTTCTGGATCATCTGTTCCACATAAAGACTGAAAAGGTATGGAGATAGGATACATCCCTTTCCCAGTGTTTCCTTGCTTTGTTCTGATGACTATCTTGTGGTCCAAGTACAGGTGCATAAGCATGATCAAGTGTTTTGGGGATCCCCATTCTTCTCAGAGTTAGTCACAGTTGTGATCCACACAGTTAAATGTCTTTGCATAGCCAATGAAAGACAGATATTCTTCTGGTACATTCAATATAGTCACCATGAGATAGACAGATATATATAATGTATGACTGGTAGAACCAATAGCTACTGAATATATATAACATTGATAGATGCAATTATTTCTTTAATTGGGATGAATTTCCCAACCAAAGTTAGGATATAAATTTGTGAATTAGATTCAATCCATAAAATTTAAATATGTGTTAATCTGAGGAAACCTATATCCATTTTTTTTTATTCAACAGCTAGCTGGCAACTTTCCAATGTCTGATAGTCCCAGAGTGGGATTATAATGATACAGGAGAAGAATTAGTATGAAATTACAAAAAAGGTGGCTATTTGTAGCAGAAAGAATATTCAAAAATATGAAAAAGATTTTTTTTAAAAAAAACCTCAAAGAGCTTTACTAGAAGATCAGATATGAAAGTGTAATAATAAATGCTCTCCAGTAAAAAACATCCACTTAGATGCTAGAAGACATATACTTTTCAGCCTGAGAAAACTTAGTTCATTTGAACTAGGGAAGTTAGAAATCATGAGTAAAAATTCTGCCTTAATGAATATTTTGTACCCTTGGTTAAATAATGTGGCTTCTCTGAATCTCAGTTTTTAGGCTATAAAGGTAGATTGTATTTTATAAAATTATATTTAGATGTATAAAGTTATTATATTTGGTCAAATTTGACAAAATTACTCTATAAACATTAAAGACAAAACTATCACTGTACATAAGAGAAAGTAAATGAGGGAGGAGAAATAAAGTGATGCTGAAACAATCAAATTCAGGGCCACTGATGTGGGCTTTGCCTTTTTCTTTGAAAGAACCAGAGCAAAAGAAGATAAGCCTTAAGAATGAGAGGGGGAAAAAAATAAGATCAGGCTTTATTTTTCACTTTGAGGGTTTACAATTTTGGAGGAAAGCCTAATTGAAAATGTTCGCCCCCCCATCCAATGAAGTGCCAATGGAAGCATCCATACCTCAATGTGTTTGTGGTTGTAAGAGTGGCCACCACCATGTTCAAAGGGGTCCAAATTCCTGCCCAAACCGTCACTTAGGCCCTTTAGCCTTGGGGTAACTTGTGGGTGAGAGACATGACCCTTCTGTTTAGTAGCACAGTCAGAAGAAAAAGAGAAACAAAACATTTTGTCAGAACTCATGAAACAAGACACATATTTCTAAATGTAGGATATTTCTCACACCAAAGGATGAAAAAGAAGCACTAGAACTCAGACTCTCTTATGAAAAAGGCTCCTTGGCTGCAGGACTGAACAGTGGTACTGGTTTCTTATTTCTGTCTCTGATTTAAGAAGATACTCTATAGCATAATTGCAAGAAAAGAAGAAATAGATATGCCTGCATATAAATAAGATTTCTTAACCAAATTTTTATCAACTGCAATAAGTTTTGAGATTAGGAGTGTGTGGGCGAGGGGGAAGGTAGGGGAAATGAAGATGTGGAAGAAAGGTAGGGCAACTGTTCCTGCTAAGCAAAATTTCTAGTTCTACTAATCATTAAAGGATAATTTCTTTCTGAATGAGATTTATGATGAAAACTACTGAAGGTGTTAAAAAAAATGATCATTCATGCTCTTCAGTCTTCTATTTATTTTTAGGTTAAAAAAAAGTTCATAGGCGTTAGTTCTAGGTCCATTTGAAAAAGTTCAAAATTATCCTTTCCTGATAAAATATTTGTACATTTTTCACATTCAACCCATTATGTTCAAGCATTCTAAGGAAAAGCACTTATAGAAATAATGCCTAGCTAGATGCTATCATCTATATTGTCAAAGAAAACATCAACATCAGTAAACGTTTATAATAAAATAGTATCTTAAATTAACATTCTCCTATATTGAAATTAAAATTATTTTCATATATGTCCTTTATGTTTAAATGCTAGAGGCTTGGATGTTACTTCAATGATCTTTTTTGCTTTTATGTGTTACTTTTTTCCCCCATTTAAAAGTCTATTTTGCATTCATTTTAAAAATAAAAAATATTGTATATTTTAAAACTTCATTTAAAAAATGTAGTGCTTGAAGGATATAAAGATCACCCAGTCCTATTTAAAATTTTTCATTTTACATGAGAAGAAAGTGAAGTGCATATGAATTTTCATTCAATATTCAAAACACTTTCTCCTCATGTTTTCGTAATATAGGAAACTAATCAAGAATTTGGTTAGATCCTGGAAAGGATGAAAACACACATATTTAGAAGCAACATATTCACATTTTACCCAACAGTTCTCAAGTAACTTAAGAGTAACAATCCTTATTATATGAACTGCAAGAAAAAAATATATATAATAGCATTCTCGGTATTAATGTTTATGTGTAAAAACAAATAAGGACCTAAGTGGAGACACAGACGCAAAGCTTATATGGGGAAAACTTGCATAGCCAATAATGCTAAGCCATTAAAACTTTAAAATGGTAACCTCACCTGATAGAGACTGTGTAGTACTAAGTCATAATGCAATTTTCCCCTTTAAAATTATTGAAGCTGGCAGGGTTTTTTCCCCCCTTCACTTGCAGTATGATAAGCACTTAAGGTGTTAATCTTTGTGGGCTATACTTAAAAATTATTTAACATTCAGGCCATTATTTAGCATACAGCTGGTTAGCAGTTTCCCACTAAAGCACTGGCTTGTATCCCACATTTTTTTTTCTTCTGGCACTTACCTGGAGCTGTAAAGGGCTGAGTCCAGAAGCAGCAGCAGCTGCCATTGTTGATGGAATGAACTGTACGGGGTAGTTATCACCTGTCAGAGAGAACAATGCATACAGGTTTAGACAATGCACAGGGAATCACAGCAGACAAGTACAAACATGGTCCTTGGATTGCCTGAGCTTTACAACATTGCTCTAAGCCCAAACATCTGCAGAAACAAAAGGCTTAGTTGGGCACAGACTTGCATGCTGCCTTGGAACTTTTTGTTAACAGATAGCTGGTAGGCAAACTGGCAAAACATGAATGTGATGTAAAAAAATTAAATGTGCAATTCAAGCATGTTCACTCCATTACAAATCTTGTAATACATCATTTTTTTAAGAGTAAAAAAATATCTTAAAGCCAGCCTGACACTCAAAACACTGAGAAAGCACTGAGGCTTTTATATTAGAACAACAAACACACTTTGGCTTGATAGGCAAGGCAAGAATACTAGAGTCCACAAAAAAGACTATGAGGTAGTTACCACTCATAATCAACTTTACTTTATAAAAAGTAATTAATTTTAAATGTAACCTTATCAGAGTGACAGTAGTGAGAGTGTTGTGTTATTTTATTTGTTAGCACCTTTGAAATGCCTGCTATTCAAATAAGAATGGAAACCATATTTTTGTGGATTTATTTCTGATAGAATTTGATATTTAATAAAGATTTAAATAAAGATTTATCAACTATTTTTCCCCATGGTGATTTGATTAAATAATTAGATGAAATATCCACTTTTAAAGTGTCCCAGAGGTTGAGCGTAGTCTAGCATGGATGAATGTTATCTCTTAGTGTCTGGTTCCAGACCACCACCACGCATGGTGACTGAAGTACTTGCTGTGACCTAAAAGGACACAGGTGGTCAAGTTGTGGCCACAAGAACCGAAAGTGATAAGGAATGTATCACGATAATGGGAACTAAAATAAAAATTAATACTTATGGAGAAATTAGACAATATCAGTGATTTAATGGAGTGTCACTTTGGCTTCAGCTACTTATTTAAAGTCAGTGTTATATACTATCTCTAGGCTATATTTTAATAAGCTGTTCCTCCACACATTTTTGACATTTATAATAATCATGCTGTTTTACATGAACTATTCCACACTAAAAGGCTGGATGCAATAAATGAAGAGATGATGTAGAAAGAACCTCAAAATTAAAAGTAGTCCACTGGAAAGCAATAAGCCCTCTTTTTAAAATATTTTCCTTAACCTGGAAGCTTCCTGGTGCCCTTGCTTCCTTGGAACTTATCCTGTTTGCCACATGAAGAACTACTCACTCAGCTGGCCCAATGTAAATTTTAAGTTGCTTCCACTTTTAACAAATTGTTAGCTTCTAATCTACACAGTCTCTTTGCATCATATCCATAATACCTCATCAGACCATTGAGCACAGTGTGTGCTTGTACACAGTCCAGTAACAATTGGCTTCTGATTGCATATGGAGCGCTGCTACAATGCATTCACTAACACTATATTGTGCTGGTCTCCTATGGAGCAATGTTCAAAATATCTGATCCTTTTCCCCTTCCATGAGGTTGTTTTTCATGTGCAGAGCTATATGAGCTTTCTAGAAAAGATAACTAGGCCAAATTATTTTTATAGTAAATGACTATATTTATGCTTAAATAATTCTACTGATCTTCTTGATATTTAAACTAAATTATCTGAAGAAAGAATATCCTAATCTAAATTAAATAGTATTTCTTTGGTCTACATCTTATCAGGTTAAAAAAAAATCACAAAATGACACTGAATTAATGATGCTTCAAAAACAGAGGGGGGAAAATCTCCATTGCAACCAACACGGACTGCCTCCTGAAACATTTTAGAGCTGTTCTTTCTTTAAATATCATGCATTATTCATACTAATGCTAAACCACAATTCCCCCCTCCCTGTAAGTTTAATACCAGTTGCTTTATTTGTACTAAAACATTTTTCATGTCAAACATATTTTAAAAAATCAAACTCTAAAAGAATTCCCTGGGGCACTCCTTTTTCCATAGCTGTCATGCTTCTATGGTATGAAATAGTTGAATTTTTTTATCGTTTTTGCCTTGCCAGTTAATTTATTACTATCTCTACCACACCCTGTAGTCCTCTCTAGCTCACCTGCTGGCTACAAACAGCTTTCTTTCCATTTCTGACAAGCATTTTTTTTTTTTAAAAAGAAAATATGTTTTAAACCTTCCTAGTAGTTTGAATCTGTGTATCTAAATATAATCTTTAGAAAGCTATTTTCCCAGGACATATCAGTGTATCAATGGAGAATGTAGAAGTGAATACATTAGAGCAACCAAGTATGTCACAGGGATTGATTAGAAGAGAAAGAAAGGAAAAGGTAGGAGAGGGAAAGATAAGTCAGAAGAGAAAGGGGAGTTAATGGTGGGAGGAAAAATGTAAGAGCACAAGAATTTTAAGAGTATAGTGAAGTTTGATTTTTTTTTTAAAGAGTATCAAATGCTTCTCTCCCCTAACCCCCCTCCCCCATTTTCTCTGTATGAGAGTTGATCAAGTAAAGTTCTCAGTGGCTGTCCTGGCAAGGAATCAGTCAACGTGTTGTAGCAATTTTTTTCAAATTTGTTTCTGGATTTGAAATGCTTGCGTGAGGACCCATTCTTCTTAAATTTGTACAAAGAAAGACGAAGCCTGTTGGAACAGGCTGGCTTTAGGTACTACCGTAATTTGGCCCTTGCTACTTTGAGTGCAAAAAAAAATCCCCAAAAGCCAGTTTAAGCAATAATACCTACTCTGTAAATCCATCTTTCCAACCACATAGATTTTTCAACTATTTTTATCTCCAGATTATAGTAAAAATACAAAAAAAGAAAAATCTATAGGCCATTTGCCTGGAATTAGTTTGAAGTGAAGTAGGCAACAGCCCTGCAGAATCAAAGCAGAATCAAGAATCCTTGGAAGTAAATTCTTACGTTTTCAGGGAAACTGAAATGAGGCCAAAACTTAGTGGAACTTAAACAGGGAAGAAGAGAAGTCTGGACTGCTAATCTAGTGTTCAGTCTACCTCCTACAATAGCATACTTTGTGTAATTCAGATATACCTTCAACTGTTAAGAAACAGTTAAAAATTTTATGGCTAACATTTTATCCATTCTCTTTCATTCTACAGAACAAGAGATAGACTGGTGGAGTTTGCTGAGATATTAACTTCATGTACCATACCAATCTGTTGGGGAAATTATCTAAAGATGTTGAAGTAAGAGGAAGCTAAAAAAAAAACTGAAGTAGGAGAGGAGGTGTACTGCAGGGGATTGCTTAAAATGGTTTTTAAAGCCATTGTCTTTGTTATTATATATCTGTGTAAGATTATGTCAATGTGTGGTATTCCTGGTCGACAAAAGGGAATGGTTAGCTTAGTAATAACGTAAATAAAGTGAAGTCACCTCTCAGGTGGAGCCATACAAACAAGGTGTGTGGATCACTAATAGGGACTTGATCAGTTTTTTCCACAATCTAATCCTGAATTTAACTGGCCCAGAGAGGAAAATGGAGATCTCATTACCATCAAGAAGAAAGAACTAGAGAATTTAGTAAGTTCTTTGGACATCTCTGTGTGAACCAGAGATGGAGAACTGTGCTAACAAAGAGACAGACAAGACTAAGAGACGGAAGCAAAGATGATTCCAGCAGTAGCAGCAGAGGGGTTGGGGAATCAGACACAGTGCTGTGAACTCCTGTCCTAAGGAGCAATAAAGCTGAGTACTTACTGAAAAGGTGGGTGCCGCAGGCCACTTCCAGCATAGCCATGGCGGCTAACGCTACCAACAAGCCATCGCAACTACTGCCTCTAGAACTTATGGACAAATGTGTAGGATCAAGGATTCATACTGTGATAAAGAGTGATAAGGAAATTGTTGGCACACTTCTAGGTTTTGATGACTTTGTCAATATGGTCTTGGAAGATGTCACTGAGTTAGAAATCACACCAGGCGGAAGATTTACCAAATTAGATCAGATTCTGCTCAATGAAAACAATGTAACAATGCTGATTCCTGGAAGAGAAAGACCTGAAGTAAGAGTGGATTTTCCGACTGAATACTGGCTCCTGTTTTGTTTTATAAAGGCAACAAAATGGATTTTTTAAAAAACTTTTTAATCTTGAAATTCTGTAATGCTAAGTTTCCTGTTACAGGGAAATGTTTTGAGATAAATGGTATATGCCAATTTTTATAAGTTAATCATAAAAATGTTTTTTGTTAAGTGTAAAAATTAAAAAAGAAAAGGTGGGTGCCTCTGGGCACTTGCTATGGTAGCTTGGTTGGCCCACCAACCAAGCTAGAGCCAAGCAAATTCGTGCCTACAATTACTGGCAAAATGGCAAGGGGGGTGAGGGGAATTTACAGAGCTCAAAGAGCTTTGTAACACTTGCCTGCACAGGAGGAGGGGTCAAGACCATGAAGCTCAGGGTCAGAGTGAGGCCAATATATGAGTATATTGAGCTAAGGCTGTCCTAACAGAAACTGCCAGAGAAAAGGCTGTTCTGAATGCATCTGTAGCCTAAGTGCTTCCATATATAAGTTGTAACCTCTTTCCTATTAAACCTCATAATCATGAGCATTTTCTATGAGTTCTTTGTGGCAATTACAATGAATTACAAAACATAGTTAAGAGAATTATTGAGTGTTATGGGAGGGAAAGTGTGAGTTAATATTCTTAGAAGATGTGAACCATGCAGGGCATGCTTGGCCTCAGTGGAATCAATGTTGTACTGTTAATAATGTTGATGGGGATCCTTCTCCCTTGGGAAGTCGGCTGGACGTCGACTCTGCCTCTCAAACTGACTATCTTTTGTACAGTGGAACTCCAGCCTCATATCGTATTTTCCAATCTTCAAAACAAGGACAATATGCTAAGCAATCTAACTATATCACAGATTATTATCATCATAGGATCACGAGCGATATTTAAATGATCTAACAACCTATGAAAGCTCTGGTGGCCTAGTGGATAAGTTGTGTGCTGCCAACCCAAAGGTGGGTGATTAAAATTCACCAGCAGCTCTACAGGTGACAAATGGGCAATCTGCTCCCATGTGATGTGCAACCTCTGTAAACCCAATAGGGGTCAGCTATTAGTCAGTTCCAACTTAATTGAAATGAGCTGAGTTGAATTTAACAACCTATAGACAAATCCTAACTTTATGAACTATTTTTCAACAATATGTAAATATTTCAATCATAAACATTTGGACACACACCACTTTACAGATGCCTTGCTGTTTTTTATATGTTATCAAGTCAGACCCAACCCATAGCTGACCTTCCAGTGGGTTTTCAAAGGCAGTAAATCCTTCTTCTGCAGAGCAGTTGGTGTACTCGAACTGCATGTATTCGGGTTGGCAGTGCACCTCCTTACCACTAGGCCGAGAGAGCTCTCTACACCCCTCTTACTAGGTGATGTGTACCAAAGTAGTAAAAATTTTACAATTTTCTTATTGTTTTGCTTTTGTTATCTGCCATTCAGTCACTTCTAATTCACAGTGGTACTCTGCTCAGAACCTTGACTACCCTGTACCATCTTCACGATCTCCACCATGCTCAAACCCATTGTTACAGTCAACCCATCTCCTTGAGACTCTTCTCTCTTTCAATAATCCCTCAACTTTTACCAATATGATGTCTTTTCCAAGTTCTGGCCCCTACTAACAATATGCCCAAATCATATGTGTTCTGAAGGAATTCTCTAGATAAGTCACATATGCTTGTAAGAAATTACATTGTCACATATCTTTGTGAGAAATTATACTGTGACAAAAGTTGGCAGGTAGTACCTGCCATGTTTGTAAACTATAAAAATTATAATTTATGAATTATAATCTATAAACCATATTTATAAACCTAGAAAGGAGAAGAATTTTAAAAACAAGAAGATCTCTAATTTGTTCTGGAAACAATTAGATAAAAGAACTGGCAAAATATTTGATTCTGTGAATGCACCATAATGTCTCAATCCATTATTTTTGGTTGGACATCTGGGCTGTTTTTATGTTCTTGCGATGGTTAAAAATGCTGCTATGAACACTGATGCACAAATCTCCATTTGTTTATCAGTTCTCATTTTCTCAGAGTATACTCCTGTTCTTCTCAAAGTCAGCCAGAGTTTATTATGATCCACAGTCAAAGGCCTTTGCATAATCAATGAAACATAGAAAGACATTCCTCTGTTATTCCCTGGTTTTAGCCAAGATCCATCTAACATTAGGTACAATATCCCTAGAACCATGACCCTTCTAAAGCCAGCCTGCACTTCTGACAGTTCTCTATCTGTTGTTGTTGTTATGTGCCGTCGAGTCGCCTGCGACTCATAGCGACCCTATGTACAACAGCCCTAAACTCCGCTCTGTCCTGTGCCGATCGCACTGTCTCTGACACTCCCATCCCAATTATCCCAGTCACTGAATCAATCCACTTCATAGAGGGCCTTCCTCTCCTGCGCCGTCCCTCCACCCTCCCAAGCATGATGTCCCTCTCCAAGGACCGGTCTCTCCTCACTACATGTCCAAAGTAAGTTAGATGGAGCCTCAGAATCCTTGCCTCCAAGGAGCCACGTGGTTTAACCCTCTCCAGGACAAATCTATTTGTTTTCCTAGCAGTCCATGGAATTCTCAGTACTCTTCTCCAGCACCACAGCTCAAAGGCATCAGTTCTCCTTCTATCCTCCTTGGTCATTGTCCAACTCTCTGATGCATAACAGGTGATTGCGAAGACTATGGCCTTAGTCTCCAGAGAGACACCACTGCTCTTCAGCACTTTGGAGAGGTCCCTAACAGCAGACTTTCCCATGGCAATGCGCCTTTTAATTTCCTGGCTGCTGGTGCCAAGACTGTTGACTATGGAGCCAAGCAAACTAAAGCTGTGTACAATCTCAATCTCTTCACCATCCATCCTGATGCTGCCGATTGGTCCAGTGGTGAGAATGTTTGTCTTCTTGACATTGATCCTCAATCCATATTGTAGGCTGCAGTCCTTGACACTCTGCAGCAGGTGCTTCAGGTTCTCTATCTATGTACTGATAATCTTCAGCAGAATCTTGCTTGCATATGATATCAATGATATTGTTCAATGATTTTCGCACTCTGTTGGTCACCTATCTTTGGAATGGGGAAAAAACCAAAGATCTCTTCCAGTCAGTTGTCCAAGTGGTTGTCCTCTGGATTTCTTGACACAACTTGGTGAGCACATCTAGGGCAGCATCTGTTAGTTTAAATACATCAACTATTATACCATCAATTCCTGGGGCCTTATTTTTGCCAATTCCTTCAAAGTGGTCTTGAACTTCTTCCTTCACCACCATAGGCTCTTGCTCATATGTGCAGGAGGAGAGGGGATTAATCATGGTTGTGTACAGTTTGTTGGTTGGGGAATGAGGGAAATTGAAAGAATTTGTTCTTGAAAATAATGTATTTTAATTTTGTAAATAAACCAGTAGAAAACTAAAAAATATAAGAATTGGTAAAGATTACAACATATCCTGCTGGGATCACAATGATCTTATTTATCTTCTTAAACAACACCGGTAGCCTAGTGGTAAGAATCCAATCGGCGATGTAATTCTAAAGGTATATGGTTCAAATCCACCAGGTGTCCCATGGGAGGACAGGCAATCTCCTCTTGTGTGATTTACCACCTTTGAAAACCTGCTGGAGGATCAGCTATAGGTGATTCTGACTCCATAGTAAACAGCAACAACACTTCAAATAATATAGACATGGTGAAACGTTTTAAGCCTAGGACATTCTCTGATATAATCTTTATTGTTTTACATTTTTAATTAGGATCAAATAAAATTAAATATTAATCTCTTCAATTACTTTATAATTGTATATACTCTTGCCACTCATTTGAAAATTCATGTAATTTGTTAAAATAGTAATTAAATGTTGGTGTTGTTAGGTGAATTAGAGGGAGCTCATTTTTGTTGTTGTTAGGTGCTATCAAATTGAGTACAACTTATAGCGACTCTGTGAACAAAAGATCTGGACCTTGACATATCCTGTGCCATCCTCATCATCTTTGACACACTAGAGGCTGTTGCTGTGTCTTTCTTTCTTTTACTGACTTTCCATCTTCCAAGTGTGACGTCCTTTTCCAAGGAATAGTCTTAGCTATGTCCAAAGTATCAAAGATAAAGCTTCACCATATTTCACTCCAAGGAACATTTAGTTTGCACTTTTTCCAAACATATCTGTCTGTTCTCTGGCAACCTATGGAGTATTTAACGTTATTCAGCCCCATAATTTAAAGGCCTCAATTCTTCCATTATACTTATTCATTTTTTTAGCTCTTTGATGCATAACAAGTGATTGATAAGAACATAACACGACCTGAGTCAGGCGTACCTTAGTCTTCAAACTAACATCATTGCTCTTCAGCATTTTGGAAAGGTCTGTCCGTGTCAGTAGACTTGCTCATTGCAATACCACTCATGATTTGCTGACTGCTAGAGCCAACAGTGTTGATTGTTGATTCAAGTAAGATGATATCATTGACAGCCTCAATACTTTCCCATCTATCACAATATTTACTGTTGGTCCTGTGGTGAGGATCTTTGTTTTCTAGATGTTGAGAAGTAACCTATACCAAAGGCTGTAGTTCTAGCAGTTTCTAAATAGAACAAATCCTGTTCAACCTGCACCATCATAACAATTTTTGTGGTGCTTAAAGCCATTGTTGCAATCATCGTATCAATCCATCTTATTAAAGGTCTTTGCCTTTTTTTGGTGCTGATTCTACTTTGCCCAGCATGAGTCCTTTCTCTTGGGATGGACCCCTCCAGTTAATATATCTAATCATCCTTGCTTCTAAGAAGCACTCTGGCTGCACTTATTTCTAGACAGATTTATTTGTCTATCATTTCTGTGTCCTAGTGGCATGGGCATAATGTTTTGAGCTTTTAACTAAAATATTAGCATTTTAATCTACTAGCCACTCAGTATGAGAAAAATGGACAGTTTCCTCTTATAAAGAATTACAGCCTTAGAATCCTGAGAGAAGTTCACTATGAATCAGAACCCACTAAGCTGCAGAATCTTTTTTGGATGACAATTAATAAGTAGATGTAAATGACATAATAAGTATATATTCATAAATTACCTAACAGCAACAATTCATACTGTGAAACAGGGGACATTATGTGATTTGGATGTGGTGTGAACAGCATATTGTATATAAGTAGTCTACTGGATTACAAATAAGTTCTATATGCACACACATATCCAGTATATTATACTTGCTAGGCTGCTGGCTAGAAAGTCAGTATACTAACCACTGCAAGGGAGAAGGTTCAGGCAGCCTGCTCTTGTTAAGATTTACTCCTTGGATACTCAATGGAGGGTTCAAATGAGGTGGAATCTACTTGACAGCAGTGGGTTTAGATTTGTATATTTTAAAAAACCCAAACATACTGCCGTCGAGTCAGAACCAAGTCATAGCTGGCTTTGCAGTGGGTTTTGAGAGGCTTTAAATGTCATAAGACAAGACTGCCTATCTTTCCTATGGAGTAGTTGTGGGATATGAATCAACTGTCTTTTGAGTTGGCAGTGCAACTCTAATCTCACTAGATCACCAGCATTCCCTTTGGTATACATATATACAGACGTACACACACACACACACACACACACCCACACACACCCCATTAACATACTTAGTAGCTAATGGTGGTTCTAGGTTCACAGCCACCCAGAATGGCTTTGGAAGAAAGATCCAGAGATAGACTTTAAAAATAGCCACTGAAAACCCAGAAATCACAATGCTACACTGATATTCACTAGCGTCCCCAAAACCCAGTGGAGTAGTTTCACTTTGCCCATTTGGGGACATCATAAATTAGACTCTACTCAACAGTGACTAACGAGTGAAACAATGTAAGGTGACAAATAAATAGTGCACAGTAAATTCTAATTGAAACAAAAGAGTTTTTAAAAAATCATAGCACTATTGATTAGTGAAATGTATGTTAGTAAACTTGCACATGATGTCTTTTTCCATGGACTTTTCCCATCCTGAGTGTAGACCCAATGTGGATGAGATGCCATTTACCATCCTTGCCTCTAAGGAGCACCCTCATTGTTCTTCCTCCAAGACAGATTTGACTGTTTTTTGGCCGTCATTAGGATAGTCAATACTTTCTACCAACACTAAAATCCAAAGGCATTGATTCTCCTTTTGTCTTCCGTATTCATTTTCCTTTCAGATGCATAAGAACCAACTGAAAATACCATGGGTTGGGTCAGGAGGGCCATATTCTTTAAACTAATATCCTTGCTCATTAGCACATTAAAGAAACAATGATGATAAAGAAAGGAATCCAAGCTGCATTGAAAGCATTGGCAAGAAACAAGGGTCCAGGAATTGATGAAGTATATAATTTGACAGATTCCAACAAACATGCAGCCCTGAACATGCTCACCAGCTTCTGTCAAGAGACCTAGAAGGCTGCTAATTGGCTAACTGACCAGAAAAGATGCAATTTGTTTCCATTTTCAAAAATGGTGATCCAAGAGAATGTGGAAGTTATAGAATAAAATTAGTATCATATGCAAGAAAAATCTTGTTAAAGATTATTAAAAAATGTCTCTAACAGTACACCAACAGAAAACAGTAAAAAATTTAAGCTGAATAATAATAATAATAACCATTATTATTATTATTATACTAGTTTATTTACAAAATTGTTAATGCATTGTTTTCCAGACCAGAGTCTTCCAATTTTAATAAGACCATGGCACCAGGGAGTTCACTCCTGATGTCGGGTGGATCCTGGCTGAAAGCAGAGAATACCAAAACAGGCCTATCTATCTTTTATTGACTATGCAAAGGCATTTGGTTGTGTGGATCACAACAAATTCTGGCTAATATTGAGAGAATAGAAATTCCAGGAAACTTAATTGTGCTCATATGAGCCCTAAACTTCGACCAAGAGGCAGTGTCAGAACAAAGCAAGGGAATGCACATCAGGTCTATGTCTTTTTCCCATTCCTATTTAAATTGTGTGCTGAACAAATCATTCAAGAGGCTGAATTTTGTGAAGAAGAATGTTGCATCAGGATTTAAGGAAGACTCATTATGCAGATGACAGAACCTTTCTTGATGAGAGCGAGGAGGATTTAAAGGGCTTGCTGCAGTAGATCAAAGACTACACAGTCTATGGATTAGATCTTAACATCAAGAAAACAAAAACCTTCACCACTGGACCAACAGCAACATCATGATAGATGGAAAAATTATTGAAACTGTTAATGATTTCAACTTACTTCAATCCACAATCATCCCTGTTAGCATAAGCACTCAAGATCAAAAGAAAAGTGTGCATCAGGGACCTCTCCAAAGTTCTGGAGAGCAATGATGTTAACTTAAAGACTAAGGTGAGCCATCTCCAAGCCATGAGGTTTTTTCTTTTAGTTTCTGCCCCTTCTCCTCCTTTTTTAATAAATATTTCATTTACTTTATATTTTATGTATGTACATTATGTCCTTATCATCTTCTATCCACACTGTGCTTCACTGAACCCTTCCGATACACTGTATTTCACACAATCCCCTACTTATCTTTGTTGACTAATATACCATCACTTCAAGTCCCCATTAAATCTTTCCCATTCCTTCATGCCTCAGGATAAATCTGCCCACTAAACTACTATTCTAGCGAATTTCCATGTCATAGACATTTTCATTACTTGCTATACATTTGAAAGTTGAACAATGACTAAGGATGGCAGAAAGAATCTATGCCTTTGAGTTGTGATGCTAGAGAAGCATACTCAATGGACAAGAGAACAAACAAGTCTGTCTTGGACCAGGTGCTCCTTGGAAACAAGGATGGCAAGGCTTCAGCTCACATACTATAGACATGTTGTTAGAAGGGACCAGTCCTTGGAGAAGGACATTATGCTCAGAAAGGTAGAGGGTCAGCATAGAAGAGTAAGACCCTCAACAACAGGGATTAAAATAGTGGCAATGAGTAACAATGAGTTCAAGAATAATGGAGATGGTGAGATGGCACAAGATAGTGCAGGGTTCAGATCTGTTGTTTATAGTTTTGCCATGAGTTACACTCAAGATGATGGTCCATAAAAACAACCACATTTTCTCTTACCCCAAAAGCCATTTTCATCATCGACCCTTAAATTAGTCAATCTCTTAACGTTTTTAGGCTTTAAATTATTTGAGATTTGTCTTAAACTTCTTACAAGGAAGGGAGTTTTCACTGAATACAAATAATAATTAATGCCAGCAAGCAATTTAATAAATTCTAAACCAAATAGGTTTGTTTTCATGCTACTTGCTAAGCTTGCTTGACAGAATTTGAGTAGATTTATACTTTATTACTTATTTAAGCATATAAAAATGCCTTTGTTCAGTTTTTAAACCTTATACCCAAAGAAACTGCTCTACTATGATTTGGTAGTTAATATACTCAGGTTAATACGTTAAAAGGACTTGACACAGAAATTATTAATGAGTAGAACAAGGTCACTACTTCTGAGCTGAGGTCACTTACAAAGAATACACAAATGAAATTAAGGTTGACTTTTATTTACTTGACTATCTTCTTATATTGGATTCCTTTGGCAACGTATCTTCAAACATTTAAAATCCTGTTTACAAGGAAGCTCTGAAAGAAGCTTCAAACCATTATGTCCCTAATTGAATTCCCCAGGAGTCCAGTAAAGTCTGAGGAATAAAGAAAAATCGTAACATTTGCTAAATCATTTCAAAACATATTCATTGCAAGGTTATGTGACCTGTTTCTGAGGTTTAAAGATGAATAAGAAAATATTACTGAATGCTTCATTATATAAACTAAAATTAGAAAGAATTTTACTTATAGTGTTAAGCTAATTAAATCAGCTCCATTTTTGCTTTTGTTTTTCCACTTTTGTTTCTGTGGTAAACCAGGCAACAAATAATAACATTTTATATTGTACAAGATCACTCTTTCAGAGAAGAAAAGATTTTAAAAAAAAAGGATCTTCAAGAAAATACAATTATCCAAGGTAGAGGTATGAGAGAGAACTGACCTGGCAGTACCCAGGAAAAGTAGTAGTTTTTAGGAGAACCCAGAGTATGCACAAGTACAGAAGGAAAAGAAAGGTTTGTAGCAACCAATTCGTTTTCACTCTGGCCCTCTTTCCAATTTTACTTTAAAATAAGCTTGCATGATGTTTTAATTCATAATTCCTTTGTATGCTCCTATGTTGTTGTGACTACTAAGCAAAACATGTGGATCTTAGCATTTACCAAAGAATGTTAAGCCCCTCTTTACTTACCTGGTTTGTATGTTATTCCTGGGGGGAAGAGGAATCCCTGTTGGGCAGCAGCAGCTGCTGCCAGGGTCCGCTGGTCATGTGGAAAAATTGGGATCATGAGCGGAGGCATGTGACCCTGAACCTGCTAAACAGAAGAGAGCCTATGATCAGTCAGAGAGCAAATATATGCCAAGAAGTATTTGTTTTTCACCTCAGGTAGTGTGCAGGTCCCACACAACCGCTCACCTCTAACCCCATTCCACATCTACTCTAAGGGAATTCAGGAGAATGTCACCAAACTCTTGTTCTAAGATTCTGTTAGCACAGCAAGGATGTGAATTTCTCATCCCTCTTTCCACCAAATTGTAATTAGTCGTTTTCTTTTCTCTTGTGTTTGTTTCAGTCTTCAAAGAAAGAACTAGAGAATAAGTTCACATTTTTCTTTTTAAATAATATATTCTAATTGTGATTTTAATAAAAGTATACAGAAAAGTTAGGTTTTTCACTCATTCATTGTTGTGCATTTTACCCCCTCTCCCTCCCTTCCCCTTCCATTTTTGCTTATACAACAAAATGTTGGAAGGTTTTGCCCTTTCACCTGCTTTGCATTCTGTGCTTTATTTTGAAAACATTCTTTAGCAACCTTGGTTAGAAAATAATATCTAATTGTTATATATTCCAAAAGCTGTCTCCCCCCAGTTCAGGTATTCTATTTCAAAGCCTCACTACATTATGTTAAACCTAGAGCTCTTCAGATTTAAGGCAACTACATCTTGGTTCCCAATTAAACTAATATTCTTTGCCATACACACCTCGATGCAACATATAAATTGCCTGTCTGGCTAAGCAGTTTTACAGCTTTATGCACTACCATGTAGCTCAGTAATTATGGAGTTGTATTCAGAGAGCATTTCATAGTAAATCCTACTATATCAAATTTCATTTGACCTCAATAAATGTATCAAAGAGCACAAAAATGCAAAATAGGAAATCTTCTCTCTATATCAGTATTTGTATTCCATATAAAGAAAATAAGAGCTATGACAGAATCATGCCCGTGAAAATCACATTTTAATTTCCTACCTCCCTTCTTCACTCAATGCGTTCTACTCTGGTTCCAGGATAGCATCACAGGGAGGCTTTATCCTGGATTTTAGAGCATGGTTTTATAGTTTAGACTGTAAGATTTTTTTTTCCTATTTAAAGATTAAAGCTAGTGTGCACAAAAAGAATTATCTCAAAATTGATATAGGGTCTGTGGCCTATTTACTGGCATAAAAAGATACCTTATAATCTTTATTTTTACCTTTTTTTAATTCAGTTTAATAAACATTTACAGAGATTTTGGATTTCCATTCATTTATTGCAGCACTTTTCTCCCAAACAACTACCTTACAATCTTTTAAGATACAAACCTTTACTAGTAATTCTACTGACCTCAAACCTCTTCCCCTTTTAAATTCCTAAATCTTAAGACAAAACTCCACCTTCTGTCTGGCTTATGACCCTGTTTAAATAGTACCAACATGCCTTGTTCTGTCCCTCTTCTCTTCACAGCCCGGGACATAGTGCAAAAATACTTCTGTGTGAGTCTAAGAAGTTTCATTTACCAACAGCTTTCCTCTAGGGAAAGCCCTAAGATGTGGGTTAATAAAGGGCAAGTAAAAAAATAAACACTTTACAGTATTTTTCTGAATTCATTTCTCACGAAAATCAACTTATAATAAAAAGGTCTTTGTGCAATTACTACCTTGCCAGTGGGGCGTGAAAGAAACTAGCTTTGGGCAGCTATTTCTTCCATTTTAGCTGAGGTAAGCCCTAGTTTTGTACATTAGAGTACAAAGTTAGTCTGCTTAAATTGGAGCTGATCCCCTAGTGCCCAGGTCTTGCCTTTGACCTTGAAGAAAAGCTTTGTTATACAATTCCAGTTTGTTATGATCTGGTGCAAACTTGAGATGTCAAAGATGAGGTTAATATTCTATGCTAGGTAATACAGGACCAACAGTTCTTCAGTGTAAGTGTGAATCAGAGGAGATAATTTAATTTTCCTATAGAAGAAATGTGGTCCTAGAATGTGTAGAGAATTTAATGCAGATGCTTCATACTCTACAGTGGACAGGAAGGTGAAGTATCAAGGGATCATTTTATTTATCAGTTCCTGGCATTAACAAATTGCTGTTGTTAGATGTCATTGAGTCATGCATGACTTATAGCAATCCTATGAACAACAGATATGGACCCTGACCTATCATGCACCATCATTATCATTCAGCACACTTGAGTCCATTGCCAAAAATCACTGTATTAGTCCATCTCAGTGAGGGTTTTCCTCTCTTTTTCTGACTTTCCATCTTTCCTAGCATGATGTCCTTTCCAAGGACTAGCCTTTCCTAACATCATGCCCAAAGTACGTGAGACAAAGCTCTGCCATCCTTGCCTCTGAGAAGTACTTTGGTTGTATCTTCTACAAGACATATCTGTTTGTTCTATTGGTAGTTCATGCAACCAAAATGATAAACAAATGCTAGTTGAGTTTTATTATTATCTAAAATGTCTACGAAAAATAAGGGATATTCAGCATAGGAGAGAAGCTTTGTGGGTTGTACTCAAATATTTTAAGAAATGTGACGTGTGGGAAGAGGATCAAATTAAGTTTTAAGTGGTTACAGAAGGCAGAACTAGTCTCAGTAAAAAGGAATTTTGGGAAGTTTAACTCAAACAAGAATTTTCTGACAGTGAGTGATGTAACAATAACTGATTAAAGATGAGTAGTGAGTATCCTTTCTTTACATTTTCAAGTCAACTAAAGGCCTTCTGTCAAAAATGCTATAAAAGAGGTTATACTACGAAAACTTGATTAGACAGTGACCTGTTAGAATATTTCCAACTTTATCACTTAGAAATGTTAACATTAGAATGTCATTATTAAATGTCATTTTTAGAAATTAGAATATTAGGTTATTATTAGAATGTTTGTATAATGCAATCATTTATGCATTCAACAAATACTTTTGAGAACCTATGTGCTACCTGAACTACCAACTAGAACAAACCCAAATTTGTGATAAATGTGCTAATTTCAGAAAAATGATGCAACAGAATATAGAAATTATCAGATTATATAATTAATAATATATGAAAGTAAATTTTTTGCTGAAGATAATTTAAAAATGGTTGTAGCAGTAAAAAAACTCAAGCTGGATTCAGAACAGGATGTGGAACCAGCAATATTATTACTGATGTCAAATGGATCTTAGTTAAAAGCAGACATATCCAGAGATATCTACCTGAGTTTATTGACTATGCAAACATATTGATCGTAATAAATGATGTATAACATTGTGAAGAATATGGAGTCTCATCAGCAGAGAGCAGAGTCTCCAATCCAAAGGCAACACCTTTCTGGTGTTTCAAATCCACCAGCAGCTCCACAGGAGAATGATGGGCAGTATCCCTGTGTGATTTACCCCTGGGAGTGATTTATAGAGTTGGTTCCCACTTGATAGCAATGAGAGTTGTTGTTTTTTCTTTTGTGTTCCTGTGGAAATTGTATGTAGACCATATAGCAAAGGGATGTTGTATCATTTAAAATCAGAAAAGATGTGCACCAGTTTTACACTTTAACCATACTTATTAAATGTGCATCTTAAGCAAATAATTCAAGAAAAGAAACTCTAAGAAGTAGAAACATGGCACTGGAGTAAAACTTATTCACTACCTGTCATATGTAAATGACAAAAGCTTGTTTGTTGATTGTAAAGATGACCGGAAACACTGACAAAGAATAAATATCACAGCCTTCAGTGTGAACTAAGCTGTGACATAAATAAAATTCCTCACAATTGGGCCAATAAGGAACTTTATGATGACTAGAGAAAAGATTGAAGTTGTCAAGAACTTATTTTACTGGATCTACAACCAACATCCATGGAAGTTGTAGTTAAGAAATCAAAAGATGTGTTGCACTAGGGAAATGTGCTGTAAATTACCTCTTTAAAGTGTTAAATAGCAAAGATTCTACTCCAGAGACTGATTCTGACTCAAGCCATTTTCAATTGCTTCCTATGCATGCAAAGGTCTCCTTTCAGTCAAATAACAGTTTGCTTTGCTTCTGAAACAAACAACCCCACTCATGAGTAATTTGCTGCACTAAGCAATGAATTATGTGATACCAAACAATCAGCATTTTACACAAAAGCAAAGACAAGAAGGTAAAAGGGAGGTAGATTAATAGAAAAAGAAGGAAGTCTTCAAAGTGCAAACACACTGTCAAAATTGTAGTCAACAGCACAGAAATAGCTGTTTGGAATTGGAAAAAAAAGAACCTGATTTATTGTGTAAGGTCTCACCGGTTGTTCTTGGATACTATCAAGTTGGAACAGACCCAGAGGGTTTTCAGGATCAATAAATCACATGAGAGGACACTGCCTATCTTTCTCCTGCAGAGCAGCTGGTAGATTCGAATCACTTGCCTTTGATGTGGCAGCACAGAGTCTTACAACTCCTCCATCAAAACATCCTAATCTACCATGGTGGCTTTCAAATTTTAAATCAGTCTATCCATTTTTAAATCACTAAATCTGAAGTGGGTCAGCAAGTGTTTATTTCTAACATGTTCCCAAGCAAAGGTGGTGTTGCTGGTCCCTGAACAAAATGGTAGTATGCCACCAAACCAGGGTATTGAGATTGATTCATTTCAATGTGAGTTTAGTTACCCAGAAGAACACAAAAGAGAAGAGGGGTAAACACACATGGATCCATTTGAAGACCTAACATGGACTCTAAAGTGCTAATAATTAAATAGAATACTAGAGTGAAGGCATATTTTCCCTTCACATTGGTCACCCAGGACTTGGTAAAATCCACCAGTCTTCTTCAGATGTCCCCTATGTGACAACATGTTAGAAGCATTGTTTTTTAAATATTGTTGTCACTGTATCTCCATGGTGTGAGAATCAACTCATAGCTGATCTTCCACTAGGTTTTCAGAGGCAGTAAATTACATAGGAGGAGACTGTACATCCTTCCCCTATGGAGTAGCTTGTGAATTCCAACCACATGTCTTTGGATTGGCAACAACATAATTTCTTATCACTAAGTCACATGTACAGGAATGGGTCTAACTACCTTCCTTTATAGAAA